AAAAATATTATATATATATTTTCCCACTGAATGACTATTATCTATTTGCACTCTCACTACCATGTAATATTGTGTTTGTCATCGTATTGAGTTATATGTTTTCGTGTCAGCTGTTTTGGAGACAAGAGGGGTATAACAATCAAAAATGCACACAATGTCTCGAAAAATGGGAGCTCAAAGCAATATAAGTTGATGTCGAATATATTCTTCTTAAAATATAATTCATGAAAAGCATTTTTGCGACTGGAGCCCCACCTCGTCATTGGAGGCAGAGTAGAGTGAAAGTGCCAAAACTAGCTATCGTCGTGAGTGCACGCAAACATTGATACGTAGTTTCACCTTTCTATGAACACTGTGAGGTGCGTAAAACACTTAAAACCTTCAAAATCTGCAGAAGACCAATACATACTTAGTGAGCACAATCATTATCAACATCAAAATTAGCTACCCTACACAGGAACAGCTAACAAATAGGACATTTTAAGAACCTACCTCGGGCACTGCACGGCACGACTTCACCCTGCTTACCACATCCGATATGTTGAGGCTCTGTGGATAAAGGAGGTACACCTGGTTGTCCACAGGCAGATGCCAAAGATTATCCTCAATCACAGCCATATCGTCAAAGGAGAGCAGCCGTGGATGACTGTCAAATTTTACAACTTTGCTGCTAGGAACACGGTCAAAACGGGTTGTTGCGACAGTTGGATCAACTGGTACCTTCAGCTGCAGGCGGTAACTTCCGTTAATCTTGGCCCAAATAGGAGCGTACCAGTCACTTGCGCAGACCCCTATCCCGCTGTTGTTGCCAGGAGGCGTGGAGGAGCTCCAATCTGCATTCTGCAGCGTCGCTTGGAACAGCCAGTACAAGAGAACGAAAGCGAGAAGCAGATAAAGGTTGAGCCGTCGGCTGTTTATCAATCTTCGGGATCGGTTAAGAAGTCGATAGAAATGGCTAGGTAGCCGAGGTGTCATTTTCGCAAGTAGTTAAAGTAAGAGCACTTTGTAGCAAAATTTTATGTCAACGGCTGATGTGTTGTAAGCTCTCTCGGAGGCTCCTATTGGCTAAGAGAATACTGCGTTTGTTTCTGTCTTGCCTGTGGAAATGCATCCTTAATCGAAGTGACGCCTTTGCACGAATCCGAATGCATTTGTGCGAAACCAATAATTTTGCCGTGAGAATTGACATATGTTCGACTCCAGCATTAGTTCGATGCAACAGAGGGTCAACGTCCTTGTTAGACGGATGCCATCTCGAACGTGTATTTGGCTTTTACATTATTGCTTGGCATAATAGCTATGGTTGAGTAGCCACGGTGCTACGAAAATAAGGAAAGCCTTCCTCCAAAGACTACAGGCGAATGAAATGGGTTTATTCACGTTAAGTAAGATATTATTTCAGAAGATGAAATGGCGAATATACGTTTGTTTTCGATAATTCTCATCA